ATGCAGTACATCGTATACTGCATCATCAACAAGGGTGTCCCTCCCAGAAACCACGCTGAGTTCATGCTGCGATCGCCTTTCCTCGAACTGCTCGGTGCTGAGGCGGCCGAAAGAATGCAGAGGCCAGGAGCCATCAAGACACACATGCCATTCGAAAGGCTGCAGATCTGCGCTCACGCAAAGTACATCTACGTAGCGAGGAACCCTTACGATTGCTGCGTGTCGTACTACTACCACAAGAACGTTGCGCCTAACCCAGAGTGCCAAAAAGCTTCGTTCGATTACTTCTTGCGCATGTTCCTCGAAGGACGAGTGACCTTCGGACACTATTTTCACAACTTAGTGTCCTGGTACGAACATCGCCATAACCCGAATGTGCTCTTTCTGACCTTTGAGGACCTCAAGAAGGACACAGCGTCCTGCGTGCTCAAGATTGCAGATTTCTTGGGAAAAGAGCACGGGAGGGCGCTCCGTGAGGATGATGGACTGCTAAGGAAGGTGCTGGAGATGACGCAAGTGGAGAACATGAAGGAGGTCTTGAATCAGAGCCCGAAGTCGCTATTCAGAGAACTTCTCTCTCTACCTCCTGACAAGGCTCTTGCCTCCGCGGAGGTGTACCGACATATTTTGAAAGATGAGCCCGAAACTCGTCGTCTCAGGGGAGATTTCATCCGTAAGGGCGTGGTGGGAGACTACAAGAGCCACTTTTCGGCGGAACAACTGCGCTTCATGAAGGACTGGATTGCCGAGAATACTCGAGGCAGCGATGTCATGTGTCTCTGGAAGGATCTCGACCTTCCATGAAGAGCACAGCATAGAAGACGTTGAGACACCGTAAACGACAGCAGATCTTCGAGAACACAGCCACAGATGACATGCGTGTTTAGCCACGCCGCAAAATATTTGACGAGCCTAGAATATTTGAGCAACCACGTTGACCTAACGAGTAGAACTTGAAGGAAAGGAGGAGATGAAAGCGAGCGGGGACATCGGAACACCGAGCTCTGGCTATAGAACAATTAGAGGGTAGACGTAAAGCTAGTTGCCTGTTTCTACACGATTTCGAACGCCTTTGCAGATTGAGTAGGGATAAAAGTAGCTCCAGCTGGCTTTGCATCTACCCAATAATCATTTTAGCCATATCTTGGTGTTCTGACGTCCACTGCGCTCTCGCCTCCTCCTCTCCCCCAGTTTCTACCCGCGTAGGTCGAGACACTCGGAGCTTCTGCACTAAAGATAAGGACTGTTTCTTCCAGTATCCCGGCGTAGCTTTCGAAACTTCGTACAGTAGAAGTAGTTTCTTCTAGAAAATTATCATTTTATGCATGTAGCTTTCTTTTGTATAGTTTCTGTAGCTGATGCTATTATCGAATGAATAAAAGAAATAAACAACCTGCAAAAGAGAGTTTCCTGGATGAGGTATATATGTACGTACCAACAAACGCGAGATTAAGTTAAAGAACGGGTTCAAAGAGCAGATAGTTTGCATCGCCGTAGCTTGGCTCCGACCAAAGTTTAATCTGATCCGTTCTCTTACGGTGGGCGAGCGAGGGCATAGCTCGACCATTGGAGTGTGGGCAAACGCTTTTATTTATCCATTGTGTGCTCTAGCTTGCGCGACTATCCTCTGGCGTTGACAACGCGTGCGGTGTCAACACGACCGCATGGGAGAGGGGGGTTGGCATCCCTGAAACCCCTTCTACCGTATCTGTTTCGGCTACGATATTGACGATTAAAGCCGAAATAGAAGAGTAACAGTTGACGCTATCGAATGCGATAGTCTGAACCAGTTCAAACAGCTGTGCAGTTTCCTTAGTGGCAGAGGCGGGAGAAGTGGCGGCGTTGCGATCGCCGATAGTTAGGTTCCTGTCTACGGATCGGTGACACGTCTTCCGGGAATGTTCATGGCAGTATACTGAGTTCTAGTAACGTTGGCTGTACTATTGTTCTGCGATGAGGTGCCCGCAATGTTGCCAAAAGGCTGCCCAACTGTTTTCTAATTGTTGCGGGACAAGTGAGGAACACCCGCAAAACTATGCCACGCAGCTGCGGCATAACTGACTCTGGCAACAAAAGCAAGACATTGTTGCCCCGATCATGGGGAAGCACTGTCGCGAGGAGCGCTGCCTCGTCATGCAGTGCAAATGTTGAGAAGATGCATGCGGCAACAGTTGGCAAAAACTGATGTACAGCTGCAGTCCCATTGTTGAGCGCAGCGTTTGCCGAATAGGTTTGAGCAACAGTCAACCAACAATGGTGCCCAGTGTTTCCGCAACAATTCCTCGAAACATATATTCCATCCTAGCGCAAAACTGTTGTGTCGTACGGTTGGAACACATCTGGAAAGCAATGTTTGACTGCATTCTGGCAGTATAAATGCAAACTGTTTTTGAATCTGCCACGGAAACAGTTTGCTGACTGTAAAAACGGACGTTGCGTTGACTGTAAGCTTTGTTTTCCGAAAGCAAAAAAAAAAAAAAAAAAAAAAAGTTGCGTTGCCACAATATTTTGGAATCAAGGGGCCCGGCGCTACCGCAACATCAGTCGAATAGAAGCAAAACAGCAGCTCTGCACTCTCGCAAATGCAAACGTGACGTTGTTGGCGGAGCTGGTGTTTCGTGATAATGTTTCGCCTACAGCTGCGCTGGTCTTTTCCCGAATGTTTAGCAACATCAGGACAGCACTCATTTTGCTGGGTAAAAGCAATGTTTCGGTAACTGTTGCGAGCATGAAACAGTCAACGGTTGACCGACACAGTTGCCGCAGTGCTTTGGCAGCGGCCACTTCTGCAGTCTTATGACTGCTGCTACAACATTGTAGCGCGATTGCAATAAAACTGTTTTCATGTTGCGAAACATGGCACTTTTGAATCTAGATACTTCGGTACATAATTGGATACAGGCATATTTGTGTTCGCGTCGGCAATGTACGGTTCTAGATGGTGAAACATCAGATTTTGTTGGAGTTACCTCTGGCGTGCCACAGGGGTCGGTACTTGGACCTTTGCTGTTCTTAATATTTATAAATGATATTCACGTTGGCGTGAGCTCTCAGCTAAGATTGTGTGCTGACGATTGTGTTGTATATAGATGTATAAAAAACGATGAGGATTCCAGACAACTGCAGGCTGATTTGGATCAAATTGAACTCTGGCGCAGTCTATCAAAATTGCAGTTAAACGCCAGCAAATGTGTACATGTCACCTTCACCCATAAAAAAAAATAAACTTCACACTCAGTATTATTTAAATAATGAACCACTAAAAAACGACGGTAAAGTAAAGTACCTGGGGGCGACCTTATTAGCAGACTGCAAGTGGAATGCGCAAATTGACGATGTCGTCATGAGGGCGGGACGGGCACTCGGTTTTATCCAGCGTAATCTAAAAAGGTGTACACAAAAAATAAAAGAACTTGCATGCCTTACCTACGTTCGACCTCTTACAGATTATGCTTGCACTGTGTGGGATCCCGCTCAGCAAAATCACATAGACGCTTTAGAGAGGATCCAAAATCGTGCGGCACGCTTCGTCCTGGGGCTGTACGACCGCTTTTCGAGCGTCACGGACATGAAGAGTACATTAGGCTGGGATTTGCTGACATTCAGGCGGAAACATTTGCGCTTAAAATTTCTATATAGCATTTATAATAAACACACTGGTATTAACGGTTTGCATTACCTTCTACCCCCTTACTATATTTCCCAACGTAAAGATCATATCCACAAAATACGCGAATATTCCACCAGGACGGAACTGTGCAAAAATTCTTTCTTTGTTAGGACCATTAGGGATTGGAACAATTTAAGTGTTGAAACTGTTTGTGCCGCAAATGCAGAAATGTTTTTTTCTATGTTGTTCGCCCCCTGCAATAATGCCTCAACGGCGCTGCAGGAGCTACCTGAATAAAGAATAAAGAATAAAAACTTTGTTGCGCCGACTGTCTCCACAACATAAACTGTTACCTGGGGAAGTCAGTTGGTGAAGTCATAGTTGGAACGGCGACACCCGAACCACTTGATGGAGAACGGACAGGAACGTAAGTTGAATAGTTCGAATTGACGGAGTTCTCAAAGATGTCCTTTTTCGAGATTAGGGCCGTGAAGGCAGTCGGGCTCCGCTAACCCTGGAGCACAATGTTTGTGGACTTCATTGTAAATACTTTAACTGATACTTTTTTAGATAATTCGGCTACACTCCAAGACGCCTGTGGTTGTATACTGCACCGTGGTGCATTCAACAGATATATTATTGGTTTTATGAGTGCGTGCAGGCAATTGCCTTGATGAAAAATGACTACAATATACAAAACTAAACCATAACTTCATAGTTCAAGTCACGCCCTGCGTTTTTTACGCTGTCAATGACCATACTTTATTGTCTGAGTTTCATGGCCAGTGATTTTCTAACCGGAAATAATAAAATACACTTGCCTTCGAAATATGGAAGTGTTGCTTAAAACGTTTCATTTGGCAAAACGTCTCCATGGACTGCTTCGTTTTCTGGTAGAAAAGATACGACATAGCTCCAATTGTTGAGTGTACAAGAGAAACCAATGCGTGCAGTTTAATTTCGGAAACCGGCTTTCACCAGAAAGCAACGTCGCTACCCGATTTAGCTTATAAAAGATTTGCAATTTCAAAGGGCACAGTCGCAAAAAGTATTGATATAATACCCAAAAAAATGTTTTCTTAAAAGGCCCCCCCCTCCCCCCTCCCCACTAAAAAAATTAACACGGCGGTGCAGTAATAAACGTTTTGAGGTACAGATTCAAATTCCGCAAACAGTAATATTTTCTTGTTTTAGGTTCAAAAACTACGGGCAACAGGAATTTTGATAAAACAAATTGAAATCCCCCTGTGGAAAGCAGGGCACGTGGGCTAACTACTGACTGGGCACACAAATTCATTGTGTCAAAATTATTATATTTTTTTTTTTCAAAATGTGATAACTTGTGGTGATTGGAGGGCCGAAGATCTTAATATTTCTACCTGTCTCTCGTAGAAAACAAACCCCCAAGGAACATGCCATTCGGAGGGTGCAAAGACGTGGATGGGATGCTGGTCAGCTCATTCTTTTCCGAAGAGAACTTGCGGTCAGCGTTGACCTACAGACCAAAACCCGATGACATATTTGTGGCCACATACCCGAAGTGCGGGACGACATGGATGCAATACATCGTATACTGCATCATCAACAAGGGTGTCCCACCCAGAAACCACGCTGAGTTCATGCTGCGATCGCCTTTCCTTGAACTGCTCGGTGCTGAGGCGGCCGAAAGAATGCAGAAGCCAGGAGCCATCAAGACACACATGCCATTCGAAAGGCTGCAGACCTGCGCTCACGCAAAGTACATCTACGTAGCGAGGAACCCGTATGATTGCTGCGTGTCGTACTACTACCACAAGAACGTTGCGCCTAACCCAGAGTACGAAGAAGCTTCGTTCGATTACTTCTTGCGCATGTTCCTCGAAGGACGAGTGATCTTCGGACACTATTTTCACAACTTGGTGCCCTGGTACGAACATCGCCATGACCTGAATGTGCTCTTCCTGACCTTTGAGAACCTCAAGAAGGACACAGCGTCCTGCGTGCTCAAGATTGCAGATTTCTTGGGAAAAGAACACGGGAGGGCACTCCGCGAGGATGATGGACTGCTGAGGAAGGTGCTGGAGATGACGCAAGTGGAGAACATGAAGAAGGTCTTGAATCAGAACCCGAAGTCGTTATACAGAGAACTTCTCTCTTTACCTCCTGACAAGGCTCTTGCCTCAGCGGAGGCGTACAGACATCTTTTGAAAGATGAGCCCGAAACTCGTCGTTTCAGGGGAGATTTCATCCGTAAGGGCGTGCACTCTAAGAAAAAAGGGAGCGTGACTTAGTCCCTCGGGGGACCAAATGCGCTGCCACCACCATTAGTCCCCTAGGGGAGCAACTGTAACGGGAGCAACTGTTGCGCCCCGTCGGTTAGTCCCTCGCACTAGCACCGTTGGGACTAACTGTTGCACCCTTTCAGTTACACCTCGAGGACTAGCTGCTAGGCCCTTACACTTGGTCCTTTGGGACCAACTGTTCCACCGTTTCAATTGAACCTCGAATACGAACTGTTAGACCCTTGCGCTTGAACCCCTGGGACTAACTGTTACACCGTTTCAAATGAACCCCGAGGACTAACTGTTAGGCCCTTGCACTTGGACCCCTGGGTCTAAACGTTGCGCCCTTGGATTTAGGCTTCTGGGACTAAACGTTTACCCTTTACATTTGGTCCCGAGCCACAAATTTACGAAACAAAATTGTGGAGTTCAGGTTAAACGTAGCTTTATTGCCTCGTAGATACACATCGCATTCAAGGATGAATGAAGTCGAAGTTCCTGGGCGGTAGAATACACGATAAGGCCAAATTCCGAAGAGTGCACTTGCGTCGACGATGGCTTGGACACTGGGACGTCTGTCCAAGTCGGTTGTAGTCCCAGCACCGTTTATTGGGGCACCGGCAGCTTCTTGCCTGTTTGCGAGGAATTTGGATTATTAGTAACAGGGCAGCGTAAATACCCAATCGCTTGACAAATATATGAGATATAAGTTATAACACACGCAAAATAAATTAACAAATAGGCTGCATAAGTGATACAATGCTTCACATCCAACATGCGGTCTGTTGACAGCAGACCAGCGCAATATTAGATTTTAGTAGACCGTTCGCTGCGAATTACAGACCCAGCGCGTGCGTGCTCAAACTATGCTTCAAAGTGAACACGATCTCCCGCCATCAACGCGAAACTCTAGTGTACAATCAAATAAATGCCTCCATTAATGCCGGTTCTCACACGCAGCGAAGCGCTGATGTAGCGCTGCTCACGTGTCATGAGCTACTTTTCGTCTGCCATGAGCAAGAGTTTTGTCGGTGCGGTACAAAGCTGGTGACCGATCCCGTCAGCACGCGCTTAGCGCAAGGTCAGCGCTATGCCTGTAGCGCTCCGCTGCATGTGTGGACAGGCGTTTATGATCAAGCGATCCTGCCAGGGTCTGCCAAACACACAAAAAAAAAAAAAATAAGCCATCGGTAGAACTGGCGTTTCGCTCGATACGATTGAATATGAGGTCTCTGTGCTGCATAACAAAATCAGCAACCATGGTGCCAAAAAGAATAGAGCATGGCGCGCGCTTTGCAAGCTAGAGAACGCGCTCAAAATAAAACACTTTCTGAAGCCGCGTTAATAAATACACCATAAACAGAAGCACTTCAACATACCTTAATCGAGTTCCCTCGACTTGTGAGGTCAGAACAGATCAAGTGCAGTGCTTCAGTACCGCGAATCCAAACCCGATACCGGCATGATCGGAGACGACACAAGGCGACCAGCCTCCGACGAAGGCTGTATTTCGACTTTCAACTTACTAAAAACAGGTTCTTTTCAACCAAAGACATTTCCCGTTTTCCCGACGGACGCCATCTGACCAACGCCAAACCCCCCGCGTGAACAAGGAGCAAAGAATGCGGGAGGGATTGCGGGGAGGGGGCAGTGCGCGCAGAAGATGATCTCTTCCCGCTCCCACTACACACGACACAAGGACACCGAAGAGCTCCAAGGACGGGAGAAGGTCGCCACTTTCAACACGCCGGTCAAGTGACCTCAAGTAAACACTTTTTTTTCTTTCTTTTTTCTCTCTAAAGCATTTTCAGCATTCTCGGGTGGCTTTTTTTTTTTTTTTTTTTTTGCATTTGTTTTGTATTAGTAGGGTGCTGCCAGGTGTGACGTTCCGGGCGTGGTTTGTTCTTCGTTGTTCACCTGGATTGTTTTGGAAACAACGACGACGATGGCATGAAGGCGTCTGGATACTGCCCCTGAATGTGCTCTTTAAGTGGAACGTGCCGTGCATCAAGTGTGTCGTTGCGGATATTGAGTTCGACATTGGACTACCCAGAAAGGTTTGTCACACAGAGACGGAGGCGCAATCCCACCGGCGATGCAATCTAGTAGCGCGATAACTTTCATTGCAAAAGCGACCATCGCGGGCAAAAAGCGACGCGATTTGAGCAGTTGCTTCTCGACCCAACTTTTTTGCGATGCGATCTAGACGCGGAGCGGCTGAGCCAATCAACGGTGTTCGGAGCGAGAGTTTTCGAGAAACGACTCGCCAACGAAGGCATTGGACTCGCTTATCGCACACGCCGTTGTGACCATGTAATTTTTTTTGCGATGCGATCTAGTCGCATCGCGCGACTAGATCGGCGGTGGCAGTGCTCAGTTTTAGCGTTTGAAGTGACCATTTATCCTGACTGCGAGACTCCGATGTTAAAAGCGTGGTTTCTACAAACTGTTAAGTTTCATTTTAAAAAGAAAAAAAGTGTTAGTATTTGGAGGTGTTGCGTTTGGATAAATGCACATTTTTTGCGCGTAGGCAAATTACGTAAATGGGACTTGTGGAATGTCAACACGTCATTTTTGACGAGATAGTTGGGTGAAGTCGAGTCAACACATTCGTTCACTCGGATTCACACAACGCGTGAAGCTCTACCATGTAATGTCTTAACGCTCGTGGCACATTAAACGAAGTCGCCAGTTTCGTCCGAGTTTTGTCAACACTTTCAGCCGTGCTGGGATGAGTCTCGCCGATCCCCAAGACAAGCGAAATAGCATCCGTCCTCCTGGCAAACATTCCGTTTGCATTCGGGGACTAAATCATACAGATGCACCCTGTCTGAGGGGGACTAATGGATGCTTTTGCTCGCACACGCCTATCGGTTGGTCCCAGTCGAGCGCAGTTAGTCCCCAGCTTTTGCGCACGGTACCTAGCTTGAACCAGATGGTCCTTTCGGGGAGCGACTGGGAGTTTAGAGGACCAAATGCTGCCGTTAGTCCCTTGAGGCCAACTTTTTTCTTAGAGTGTGGTGGGAGACTACAAGAGCCACTTTTCGGCGGAACAACTGCGCTTCATGAAGGACTGGATTGCCGAGAACACTCGAGGCAGCGATGTCATGTGTCTCTGGAAGGACCTCGACCTTCCATGAAGAGCACAGCATAGAAAACGTTGCGACCCCGTAAACGACAGGAGATCTTCGAGAACACAGCCACAGATGGCATGCGTGCTTAGCCACGCCGCAAAATATTTGACGAGCTTAGAATATTTGCGCAACCACGTTGACCTAACGGGTAGAACTTGAAGGAAAGGAGGAGATGAAAGCGAGCGGCGACATCGGAACGCCGAGCTCTGGTTAGAACGATTAGAGGGTAGACGTAAAGCTAGCAGCCTGTTTCTACACGCTGTTCGAACGCGTTTAAAGATTGTGTAGGGACAAAAGTAGCTTAAGCTGGCTTTGCATCTACCCAATAATCATTTTAGCCATATCTCGGTGTTCTGACGTCCACTGCGCTCTCGCCTCCTCGTCTCCCCCAGTTTCTACCCGCGTAGGTCGAGACACTCGGAGCTTCTGCCCTAAAGATAAGGACTGTTTCTTCCAGTTTCCCGGCGTAGCTTTCGAAACTCCGTATAGTAGAAGTAGTTTCTTCTACAAAATTATCATTTTATGCATGTAGCTTTCTGTTTGGAGAGTTTCTTTAGCTGATGCTCTTATCGAATGAATAAAATAAATAAACAACCAACAAAAGAGAGCTTCCTGGCTGTGATATATATATATATATATATATATATATATATATATATATACACGTACCAAAAAACGCGAGATTAGCCTAAAGTACTGGTTCAAAGAGCAGGTAGTTTGCATTGCCGCAGTTAGGCTCCGACCTAAGTTTAATGTGATTTGTTCTCTTACGGTGGGCGAGCGAACAAATAGGGAGTTTTAGTAGACCGTGTTTCCCCCTCCGCGAGGCCTCCGCTACGAGGAAACCGCCACTGCGCCTGCGGGCCGATGGCCTTGGCTGTAGGCTTCCGGGTAGCGGAGGGGCCTTAGCGGGGCGGGAAACACGGTCTATTAAAACTCGCTAGTAGCTCGCGCATTGGAGTGTAGGCAAGCGCTTTTTTTATCTATTGTGTGCTCTAGCCTGTGCGACTGTCCTCTCGCGTTGACACCGCGAGCGGCAGGGACGCCTTCAATATACAGACACCAAACACATTGCTACCTTTTAGATTTTGAATTCGTTTCACTGCGAGGGCTAGTACGCATCATCAGTGTAATCCGATGCTTGGACCCTGGCTCTCGTTGGTTCCACCGTACTTCGAGTCAAATTGGATTGAATCTTTATTTAACATCGCACTGATGATTGAGGGAGGGGAGGGGGGGGGGGGGCAAATAAAAATGCACATTAGAGATTCGCTACAGATGAACGTGGAGAGTGGCAACATCCACTCTGGAATTTACATAGGCTGTGTTTACATGGATGCGACTGTAGCGCATCGAATCGATACTTGACTATTTTGATTGGTAGCAAACGGGTAGAAGAGGGAGAATTATGAAAACAGGCTGCGTGGGATTGGGTTCTGCTCGATTCGATGAGCTACGATCGCATTCGTGTAAACGTATATCCATAGACGCGTGGTTGAAGCCGTTTCTCCTCTCGACTGGGCTACATCCACGCGCGTGGACGTAGCCTCTACCAGGATGGAAATCATAGCAGCTGTTAGGAATGTAGAGCAAACAGACAGGAGGCAACACACCGTAGAGTTATTATAATGTACGCTAGAGGTTCAACTGGTGCCAATGTCTATGCGACGTTCGGGATGCAAATTGAAGCAGACAGTAACCAGCCTACTATATTGCGGTGCTCCTGTGCATTCCTATATAGAAAAACACGCGTGCATTTTGTCCCTTCGCCGGAAAATAACGTGGATCACTTTTGTTATTTTCGGTCGAACCAAAGAGTAAGTACTTTTATTATCATTGTAGAAGTGTAATTGCTTTAGTTAGAGTATTTTTCTTCACCAGTGAGGGATGTTAAACTTCGCTATATGTAAGGCCCAAACCTCTGTTCCATAGCAGGTGTGTATAAACGAGCGACGATTCTAAGCCAAATAACAATCGAAAGGAATGTAGAGTGTTCGCAAGATACGCCAGCATTCCGGTGGCGCCTATACATTGCTAATATGCCCGTCCCATCAGTAAATGAAAATGACCGCGTTGTGCATCTTTACATCTTTACGAGTTATGATAGGTGCTTATTTTTATTATTTCCTATTCCGGGCAGCTTTTATCGGGCACTTGTTCTCTGGCGTCTATCTATTTTCAAAGATTTCCCCTCGCGGGCGAGGCTTTGAACGCAGAACAAAAGAACAGACACACACACACACACGCACACACACACACACACACACGCTGGAGGCACTTGCACCCAGCATGGCGCCGCGCAAGTGCTAACGTACAACTTCTTATCTTGTGCGGTTAAACGGCAGATGCGCCGTCTCCATTTTTGTACGGCCGAGCTGGCCGGCAGTCCGATTAAGATAAAATGTAGCCCTCCTTGCGAGCTCTTATCTGAGACAACGCCGAAAAAGCCCAAGATGTTGCTGTCGAAACGCGATAGTGAAGCAGAATGGACTCGTTGGCCGAGGTCACTTGGAGCCGTTGCCGGACCCAACGATGTTCCTCTTCTGAAGCAAAAAACGAGCACCGAAAGCTTTCGTCGTGACTGCAGCGAAATGTCTACGGCAGCCAAGTCCGAAGGAGTCGACGTACGTATGGCATTGATGAACGCTGTATCGATATAGATTGATGGATGGATGAATCCGGCTGAGCCCTTTGGATCGGGCGGTAGCTTACGCCACCTAGCCATTTTGTTTTACCATTTAAGCTTAGAATATTTAAATGTGAAAACTATATTCACTCCGCACTGCAAAGCAAATCAAGCAAACCCCTTTCGAAAGACTGCCCTCTGTTGGCAACTCTGGAATCCCCGGTCACGGTGGTTGGATTGGAAGGCAAAACCACACCGACAGCAAAAGGTGATGAGGGCAGTGACGTTGCACTTTCGACGCTGTTTGATTGGCTCGTCGGCTCCCAGCGTTGGCCGCCCTCCGACCTTCTTTATCGTATGGAATGACTTGCACGTTCCACGATGACAGTTGTTGCGCCTTCGTGCAGTGGTTTGGACCTTCTAATAATCGGTACGTGACTTTCGAAAGGAGTTTATGAGGATGTTATGTGACAGTTCTTGACGGCAATTCAGGTCGAACGAAGAGAGTAGAGGAATTCATACTTCTTGCTGTGTTCCGCAAGGGAATGTCCTTGGCCCTCTTTTTTTTCAATTTTTATTAATGACCTCAATTTTTGTATAGATAAAAGCGTGAGTATTCGTTTATTTGCGGACGACTGTCTATTCTTCAAGGATATTAACTCTACTAGGGACCAAGTTGTTCTGAACGAAAGTCTTAATGCAGTTTCTAGCTTGTGCGATCGTTGGGAGATGAAGCTTAACCAAGAAAAGTCCTTGTACATGCGCATCACTAACAAAAACTCCTCTCATCAGTATGAATACTTTATTGGTGATAACTACATCTTATCTTGGTCCTCACACATTGTACACGTTTGTGCAGCTGCCCGTCGAAAACTGGGTATGATAAGGCACAAGCTTAAGCACTTGCCTTCTCATGTGAAACTTTTAGCCTATAACACATTGATAAGAACGAAGTTAGAATACGCCTGTACAGTCTGGGGTCCATTCACAAAAAAATATATCAAGATACTGGAAGATGTTCAAAAGCAAGCAGCTCGTTTTATATTTAATCGCTACCACCCGCATGACTCACCTGCTGCCTTAATTCAAAGTAACAACATCATCTCTCTTGAATCACGAAGGAAGCTAGCTAGACTAAAATTTCTTTATCAACTCTGGTTTAAAAAACTCCGGCTTAAATCGTCGTCCTTTCTTCACCCATCCTCGACTGGGTGCACAAGGCATGACCATCCGCATAAAATAACTCCAGTATTCGCTCGAACAAATGCATTTAAATACTCCTTCTTTCCCAGAACCATAACAGAATGGAACAACCTACCTCATCACATATTTATATCTGACAATGTTTTGGAGTCGATTGAGCGTTTATTTGATGTGTAACTCTTCGAATTGTGTTGTATTTTCCTGTTCCCCACTACCGCCACCCCTCCCAACTTTGTTGTTAGCTATTACATGTGCTTTATTACAATTTTTGCACAATTTTCCCCTGTTCCCCTCTCCCATTTTACGGATTACCTGGTGTTGCGCTTTTTTGACTCTACTTTTGTAACCCCCAATCCTGCTTGGGCCGCCAATTGGCCTGCAGTATTCCAAAATAAAATTTAAAAAAAATGCATTTATAGGGCCAAACGTGTTCATACGTTTGGAATACAGCTTCGTTGGTGACATCACGCGGATGGCGTCGCGGTATTCGCGTGACTCGTTCAAATTTTATATGGTTCACCTTAACTTCATCGCGGTGTTCATAACACTATGACGTCACGGCGTCACTTGACGTAACAGCATGGCACGTCACGTGATACCGTGACGACAGGTGGCACCATAACGTGCAAGAGAACCTATGAGGGCTATGCAATTGGAGCGCTTTCGGGATATACCAAAAGAAAAAAAGTTTTTTTCGTGATGTAATACAACTTTTGTTGGGTAATACTGGAGTTTTGTACTGTTCCGTAGGCCTGGCATTTGTACTCTTGCCTATAGGGGGAGAGATGAAATTCTGCTAGAATCATAACCTTGCTGCCACTTACATGCAAACCATTTGGGGTTTTCGTTACCGCACGTTGCCTGCAAAAACATGGCCACACAAATATTTCGCTTTCTCGAATTTTATAAACCCGTTTGTGTTTTAGTATATAGCGTTTTACGCAATTTTATATTTTCGAGTTTCTTTTTTTTTTTTTTTTTGTATAACTACTAAGAATATCGAAAACAGTTCAACAACGTTAGGTAATGAAATGGCAATCCAACGAAAACGACGCGTTCCCCCAGGAAACTCTCCAGATTCAGATTAGGAAACAAAGTGCATTATAGACCACTTCCGAAAGTCACGTGCCGATTATCAGAAGGTTAGAACCACACGCATTATGTCGGAACAACTGCCATAGTAAAACGCGCAAGTCATTCCATGGATAGCGAACGTCGTAGCGCGGCCAAAGATAGGAGCCTACGAGTCTATCAAACTCAAGTCCTCCGATGCAACAAGTAACGACAACTAAACGAATGACGAAGCACATGTCGTAGAAACAAAATGACGTCATTCAGTTCAGTCGTCTGCTGTGCGCCGCCATTCGCTTCCTAAAATCTGCACCGGCACGCAGTCGGCGCTTCAAAGAATGTCGCTACTTCTAGAAACCTCTTACAAAGGAACTTTATATTAAACAACTTCGAAAGTGACACGTCCTTGCGCTCATCGCCTTTTTTTGTGTGTGTGGGTGAGTTTTTGCGATATCCTATTAACAATAAACGACAGAGGTTCAGGTGGCGCTAGTGTGCTGTTGCATATTGAAGCAGACAACAACCATTCTAAATTTGACTTCCGGTAATGCATTCCTATGGGAAAACGCAAATGCAATTTCTCTTCGCGCTCGATTATAAGAGCAAATATCATTTAGTGTTGTGACAGAATAAAAAGTTTGGAACGTTTTACAATCGGATGTACAAAAATATGTGCCACTTAGAGCGCTTTTCTTTAGAATTCATGGCGTCGAACACTGCGCTAAAGGAGCCCAATTCACATGTATAATACGTGTTGACGTTACAGACTGCTATGATAGAGCACGTATTTACGCCTATAATAAATTCTATATGAAGCACACAAAATGAATAAGCTTGACAAAACACCGAAACGGTGCTCATATATACCAAATCCAACAATCAAAACAGACGACAAGAACGAAGCATGGAGTTATGGGACGAAGAACACGTACTGGTTCACTACGTGTTCTATTCCAGCTCGAATGCTATTACAGTTTGAATTAACCCTACGCACTTTTTAACTGTCCATCTTGCTCGAATTGATAGCTTGTATGGACATATCATGCTTTACAACATAGACCTGGGCCTCAATTTTTGCCAACTTAAACATCATTCAGTAACAAAAAAAAAACAATTAACTAAATCAATTACACTTTTATAATGCGAATAAAACGACATAGTACCCGTTACGAGTAAAGAAACTATAGCTGATTTCTATTATTCTCTGACGAAAAGAAAAATATCACGCACGTTTTCCCTTAGGAATACACAGGAAGACCGGAAAAGTAAGACTGGTTGCTGTCTGCTTCAATTTGCAACCGGAAGTCCCGTAGACACTAGCGCCAGCTGAGCCTCTAGCGTTTATTGCAATGACACTATGCTTTTCTGTGTGCGTGATTGGCTCAACCAGTGACGGCGAGCGCAAAAAAAAAAAAGAAACGAGCGCTGTGACGATGCATTATTGAGCGCTGCCTGATTGTCTCCGTCGTGCCGTACCGTCGCTGCGCCCGGACTCGAGCTGAAACAAAGAAAATAAAGGAAAAAAAAAATGCCCTCCATTTCTTTGTCCTCGCCGGGATACTGCGCTCCGGGCAGATGAAAAACACCTTTTCCATCTGCCGCTGACGTGCGAAAATGACGGTCCGACGAACTACAGTTTCGTGACCGCTATCCCGAACTTTCTCCCGTTTGCCCCAACACAGCAAGGAGGAAAACGCGTGGCAGCCCTTCCCCGCTTTCTCTCTCTCCCTCTTTCGGTAAAACGGTCGGGGCTATATAGACGCTTCACACACGCGCCAAATTACAGCCGCCATGGCTGACCTTCTCTTGTCTTACCAAGATGCCGAGCAACTGAAACGGTAGTTAACGATCCTCTACAGAAGCCGATGCTTTAGAAAAGGACACAGTTGAATCTAATGTGGCAATAACCTGGCCTGCTATGGTAATGGTGAAGTGAAATAAACGAAATAAGAGGAAACAAAATCTGAAGGTCAGTTATGGCGGCGTCCATGCACAGCTGCTGCAAAGCGTCTATTCTGTTTCACCTAGGGTGCCTCAATGTCCTTCTGTTTAGCGTGATGCCATCGTTTGTAGTACCCGATGCCGACAGCACGCGCACACAGGCAAAATACAAAGAAATCGCAGGAAACAAAATGTCGCCGTAGCACAGTCAGCGCCACGAGCACGTGCAGGGACACGCCTTTTTACGCGCTTCAGAACAAAAAATAAAAAAAAGCGTTCGAAACAAAATGGCCAGATGTCATCACCCCAAGCAAAGCGCACATGAAGGCTCCCTAGTTTCACCTTATGATGTACCGCAGAAAAGGCTACAAGAGTGAGCTCCTTGTTCTAGGGCACATCTCGGCGGCACAAGCTCTCGTGCTCCAAGGGCAGCTGCCAACGCTATGAGCTCGCGCCTTCACTGCGGTACAACCACGGTGTGTACAACATAAGGTGAAACGGAGTATACGCCTCGCATGCAAGTGGGCTCATTTTCGTCTTCTGCGCATGAGAAAGGAAGTAGCGGCGACGTCAGAACGCCGAGCCCTGATTGGCTGATCGCGACCCACTATCTCAGCGTCGTCTGCTCCTTTGCAGCGTCCTCTGCTCGCAACGTCGTCTGCGTCTGTCTTACCTTTCCTGCGACTTTCGGAAGTGCAGGTCTTTACGAGCAAGCTCGACTTCGCCTTTCAGAGAGGGCGGACGAAATAACTCGAGCGGTACGTTGTTTTTGTCTGACAACTAGCAGACGCGCATCAAGGAGGGGAGTCAAAAGGCTCACTGGCGAGGTGTCCCGAGGCGCCGAGGTTTGTTTGCTAAGAACCGAGAGGTGAGCGTGTTAGTGTCCGCAAGTTCCCTCCCAAATACTTTTTCCCTCCTTTAGTGTGCGGTGAGACCCCTCATTCTTTAACGGCGTCGGCGGGTTGGCGCAGTTAACGTAGTCTGCTTTACGTCTGCTAGTCAAAGCGATGGTTGCATTACCTTTCCTGCGTCTGTCGGAGATTCACCGCTTTTTTACCGGCGAGAGTCACCGTTGCCTCGGGAAACAAGGAGATAACAAGAGGAAGAAATTGACCTCTTAATCTAAAATTGAGGTCAGCGATCAAAGTATAATGCGGGAAGGGTTCACAAGGGTCGCGCGGGCATATTCCATTCAGCACGCCAGCCGGTCGTGGGCAGACGGTCGCCGAGTCGCGGAGTGCCTGCTATGCCTAACTGCCGAACTCGCTTGGTCGCGTTCGGTGGAATCGTTGCCGTTGGAGCTTTTCCCGGGTGTTTTTGACTCCAGCGTTCTTGTTCGTCGTGGTCTGTTTCAAGTGCTTTTTACTTTTTTCTTGCTGCTTGAAGTCGGGACGCGTGAAAAGCGCACGTAGAAAAATAAACGTCCGTGGGTCGTCGCGACCGCGACGCTGTCGGCCATGCTCATTTGATCGTAAGAGGTGCGTAAGACAGCTTCGGAGCTGTCGTAGGATTTCGTCGTAATCTGCGCCAAACTTACGATAATTTCGATTCGTGAATACGAATTTGTTCTTAAGTTTTGTCTTAAGCACATTTTTGGCGTAAGATCGTTTCGTGAATCTGGCCTCTGCACTTCCGAAAGTCGCAGGAAAGGTGAGACAGACGCAGACGACGCTCAGATAGGGTGTCGCGATCAGCCAATCAGGGCTCGGCGTTCTGACGTCACCGCTACCCCCTGCGCAAGGAGCAGACGAACTTTCCCTCCGCATAGTTGGTACTAAAATCCCTAGATAAGAGCATCCTACAAGGCGACATTCTTCGAAGCGCCGACTGCGTAACAGTGCAGGTTTTAGGAAGCCAATGGCGGTGCACAGCAGCGTTTTGAACTGAATGCCGCCATTTTGTTCCAGCGGAATGTGCTTTGTCATTTGTATTGGTCCGTCGTTACTTGTAAAAGAAGTATCAAGAGACTTTAGTTGGTACACCTGTACACGTCCTTGTCGCACGTGTGTATTTTTTGGTCCCGCTTCCGTTCGCGCCTTTTAACCTTCCCTAAGCTGAGACTGCAGGGGAAGCCACGAGCACGTTGGACCAGTCATACGTCGATCCTTCGTGACGTGATCACGCTCTCCCCATCTGTCTCGCGCGGAGAGCTGGGTCAGGTGATGAAAAGGAAGGCGTTTGATTGGCCTGGCGAGAGCGTATCTCTCACCGCAGTGTCTGCTTAGGGGTGAACGGGGTGTAGTGGTGTGAACTGCAAAGGGGGACGGGGGTGGTGTCGTGACCTACCCCAGGATTTGTGGCGAGGTTCTGAAAAAAGAGCGCTTTAAAACCAAATGGAGAAGAAAAAAATACTGAGGAGCATTTGCTACGGTTCAACTGAATGTCCAGCAGAAAATACTTCAGAAAACTTCCTATAATGAAGATTCAGGATTTGTATGAATCTTGCATTTGTGTGCTAGGTATAAAACTGGTAGATGAACAGTCGCTATAAATAAATGAACAAATTTAACAGAAAGATATTATATATGCAACACGATCGTATGTGACCTTGGGAGGGACCATTTCTTGGGACAAATTATGGCAATGGCACATTAACATACACTCTTCCGACCATTCTCAACCGGCTTAGCGTCATAAATATTGAAATTAACAATATATCGATGGGCAGGGGTATGTTTATTTAACCTATGTTAACTATAAAACTTATTTTGGAAGATTATTTTTCTTGTTATGTTTACGTGTGTATGTAGTGTGCACTTTTCAAATGTGAAGGTTCCTGTCCTACCTCAAGAGGACACTCTAACCGCTCATTCACACTGGAAGCGGATCCGCGTTCGCAAAGTGGTTGCGAACGCGATTGTCTAAAGATCCAGTACAATTGCACGCGCACTTGATGCCATCGAGTGCGCGTGCAATTGTACTGGATCTTTATACAACCGCGTTCGCAACCGCTTTGCGAACGCGGATCCGCTTCCAGTGTGAATGAGCGGTAAGGCTTTGTCCAATGACGCTAGTGGAAAGTGATTTTAGCACCCCTCCCCCTCCCCCGGCAACAAAAGAAAACGTACTAAAGCGAACCGGAAGCAAGGTGGAAACCTCCGCTTCCGTTAAGGTAACAGTGTGCAAAGCAAACAGCGTGTCCTGTTGTGTTGACAGCCCTTAACCCGGAACCTGACATCTTTGTTGTTTTGTACACATTGCGCATTGACTCCCCTACTTCAGAAGACCCTGTCCTTGCTGCCGCGCTGAGCTATATACTCGTCCACTTTGACTGACTGGAAGTTGCCCCCGCAGTGTTGTTTCCTTACACAGTTCCCCATAATGTTCTCTTGTCGAACTTGTGGTGCTAATTCTACAATTTCTGTTGCTGAAGGATCAAGACAAGCTTGGAGTAACATCGCCGTTCTACAAGGAAGTAGATGGTATCTACATCAGCTCATTCTTCAAAGAGGACAACCTCCGATCGGCGTTCGCTTACAAACCACGGCCGGACGACGTCTTCGTCGCTTCCTACCCAAAGTGCGGCACCACCTGGATGCAGTGCATCGTCCACTGCATCCTCAACGATGCCGTGCTACCAGACAACTCCATAGATTTTATGCTGGCGTCGCCTTTCATCGACTTTACCGGCGCCGAAGGTCCGGATAGAATGTCTCGACCGGGGGCCATCAAGACGCACCTCCCTTTCGACAAGGTACCGTACTCTCCTCAGGCAAAGTACATCTACGTCACCAGGAATCCTTACGACTGTTGCGTCTCGTACTACCATCATATACTGAGTACACCTCTCAATCGGCCCGAAGACAGGGACTTCGGACGGTTCCTCGAAAGATTCATGAGGGGTCGGGTAAATTGGGGGGACTACTTTTACCACCTACTCTCCTGGTACGACCATAGACACGACCCCAACGTCTTGTTCGTGACTTTCGAAGAGCTCAAGAGGGACACGTCTTCGGGGATTCTCAAGGTCGCCGACTTCCTCGGAAAGTATTACGGTTGTAAGTTGAGGCAGGATGAAGCTCTGCTTCGGAGGATACTCGAGGTAGTCGAGGTGCGGGAGATGAGGAAGATATTTAATGATGACATGTTAGGCATGATGTCACGGTTTTTGTCGCTGCCCCCCGAGAAGGCTCTACGCTCGCTTGAGGTTTGCAAGGCTCCGCTTGATGCAGTTCAAGACGAGCGGAAGAAGGAAGAGTTTATTCGAAAGGGCGTCGTCGGCGATTACAAGCTTCACTTCACGACTGATCAGGCAAGCAGAATGAAGGACTGGATCACTACTAAGACAAAGAATAGTGACGTCATGCTGTTGTGGAAAGATATTGACCTTCCGTGATTGCGTTTTCAGCTAGGTACCCAGAGACATTTAAGTCTGCGGGTACCTTTAAGTGCTTCATTTCCAAACATGGTGTCTGTACAGCGTGTGATATAGCTCAAAGGCGTATCGGTCTGTGTTCATTCAATTGATCTGCATTTACTATAAAAACAAAATTAAGCGTTATCTTGATTCCTGTAGTGCTCTTTAGACGACGCGCACTCACTACATTAAAACTGTATGAAGTTAATGTGTCTAATACGCATGACATAACGAACGTTGGTGACGTAACACAAGTGTTTATTTCATATATACGAATAAAGCATAAAGCGAGCATACACAACTGTTATTAATAGTTGACGGAGCAGTTCACGCAACACGTCGCAAATCAGGTTGCTTCTGCCGGACTGGCATATATTAAAATTTATTATATATTTTACCAATTCACATGATGTACTTCGCCAGTTCGAACAATATATTTAGAATATGCATTAAAATGGCTAATGTATTTAGTTGGCTTATCTTAAACGTAACACGCCAAAATAACGAGGACAAAGCAGACGACGACAACGCCGTGTCTTGTTGTCCTCGTTTTTTATTTACGCATTACGCTAAATATGAACGATACACAAGTAGAATCTGAGGAGTAAGAGGTATATTGTTCCAGGTATTTGAGGGCCTTGGCAGACACACTCAAATGAGGATGCTTTGTTTTACAGCTTAATAATAGAGCTTAATCGAGGCGGTGCCTCCACTTTCTCAGTCCCTTCTACTTCGTCTTCAAGCTTCCTTCCCAGTCCCAGGGTTTACACATCATGATTAATACCCACCAACTCGCCTGCACTTTGACAATTTTGTTTTGTTAATTATATGTGCTGGTATATTCTAGACCAGTGGTTCTCAGCCAGTGATGACTGATGTTTCGCGGACCCCTTGTGGATCGGCGGAGACGATATAGGACCCCGTTCGTGGTGAGTTGAAGGGAAAGGCATACTTTAAATATGATAATAACTTAATAAGTGTGTCTAACTAAGGGCTAGTGTGAAGCAGACTTCTCTCACTGACGTATACACGAGAAAACTCACCTGGAAATTGAAACGGTTCTTCTCAATGTGAAAAAAAAAAACTTTTATTGCCGGGCTTGACTGATGATGCAGAACTTCGCGTACCTCTACCTTCGTTGACCCCACAGGGTTTGCATTTTAGAAGCACTATTCTGGACAATGTCGGAAATATTTTTATAACCTTTGTAGATAAAAACAGAATCCCTGGAACGATATTGGCGCGTATACGAATGATAAGACGATTCAAGGTAAACAATAGAAACATTTCGTAGATAGCACGCCGAGGCTTCTGAACCCTGTGCACTGTCGACACCACCTTGATTAATTGAGGCTTGCCAACATCCTCCTCTCCCTCTAATAATAATTGGGTTGTGGGGATATTTATACAGCGTGTAGTTGGTCTGCCATTAAACTTGCGACGAGTCACACGCTGTAGATGAGCAATTTTGCCAGTGCAGTACGACTGCTAACCTGGGGTCTTTAACGTGCATCACGCAGTAGTGATACACGACCGCACGCCGGTACGATGCTCATCCAGATCGAAACGGGCAGGGGTGGGGCTCGAACCCAGGATCCCTGGGTTCCTCTCCCTCTATGGAACATGATCACGGTCAGATGGCGGCAACTCAGCGATTGGACACGAGCCCGAAGCCGAGAGTTCTACGACGCGTTGATTGGTCACGAGGAAATGAGATCGAGCGTCCTCGTCTGATCTCAGTGTGGTGACGTAAAACTTCTAGATCAAAGGCTGTGACTCGATTCGCGTTTCCAGCTGGTTGCTCGCACTCCCGCGGCGGAAACGGGAAACGCTCGAGTGAGGGTCCCCCGATTCTCCTGCCTAGCGGGCACAGCGGAACTGCTCGTGATCATGGCTCGCCAAATGTCATTTCCGAATGCAAACAACACTCTTCATTGTTCCAAATGAAGTGCTGCAGCCAGTATGGAGATCGAACTACTCATTAGAGAGTTTTAGTATTGCATACAGAAGCAAACGGAAGCGTTGTGCCTTTGCATTACAGTTGCCCACTCCACGTGGCGCATATGCGTTATCGCCATGCGCCAACCCAAGGCCGAAATTTTCGGGCTCCGCACACGCGCGGTGTTAAATACGCAAAGCTAACGCAAACACACAGCACTTGCGTTCGCTCGTATACGGCATATTAGAACTCACTACTGTTTCACCGACTTCCAACGCCTACCAAACGTGCTGCAGTGAGCAGACGCGCATGCAGGTAGGCGTTTCTTCGAACTGGAAAGGCTAGTAAAACAACGGGGTGTAAAAATTAAAAAAAAAAGATTGTTTTGAAAAGATTGGTAATAAAAAAAAGATGGATTCCGTTATCTTTTTTTATTAATTTTGGGTTATTTGGTTCGGAAGGATATTGGAGGCGACTTTGGATATTTTGCCGATTGTCAAAAGTCGCGACTTTGATAGCGCCATACGCTTTACCCACAATTAATGTAATTTTACATGGATTTCTCAAATTACGTAAAATGTATGCATTGATTTAGATTATTTTTATTTTACACCTTGTTAATTAAAAATTCAGCAATTGGCACCAGTGATGATAATTTGCTCACTTTTGATTGTCATACTTAATGTTAGCGCGCTTGAAATTAGTCCATAAGCAACAAATATTATTAGAGCTTGAAAAACTATGCATTAAAATACCTTATTTTATTATTATTAATAATAATACCAATTGCGCCCTATTGAAAATTCCATCAAGCTACGTAATTTGGGACACTGACTGCCAGTCAGCAGCCTTGGTGGGACGTGATGGACCATCAGACGTCATCTGATGGTCCATCAGATGACGTCTGACTGCCACTGCCAAGGGAATTTCATCAACAAGGGCAGCATTTATATAAGAGTAAAGCTATACGCACTCATAAATATCGCCAAATGCCTCGATAAAACAAAAAGTTCGAGAAAAAAAAAAAAAAAAAAAAACAGCACCACCGCGCATCGAACCCGCGACCACATGCGTACAAATCGGACACCTCAACCGCTATGCTACGCCCCACCTTTTTTTTTTTTTTTCTTTATTACATGGAAGTTATAGAACAAGAGAGAGCACATCAGCCAAAAAACATTCAAACAGGCAAACGAGCATAGTAATATACATATAAAGATGAAATGCTATTTACAGAGAACATTCAATATGCAGTCAACAATAGGCCTCTTTCACGCTGATGTCTTGATTAGATTATTACACACTAAACAAATGATAATCAAATCTTTCAAAACCTACTGACACTCAGAACCCATCTAAAGTCCTTAGTATCACAGTGCTATATACATAAATCACGGAGGGGTTGACAATGGGCAAACAAGCAAAATGTTCAAAAATCTGGTAGACCTATGCAGGCATCTAACAGTGGAAACCAATCAGGCTGGGATGGCTGTGCCGCGTAAACACTGCGCAGCTGAGCCATATTCTCCACAAAAATAGATTTTGTGGTGCGTGGCGCTTCTGCGTTTCTATCTATCATTCTACATCTCCACAAACTGTGGAGGCCTAAAATAACGAATATGTCGTAAGGAACGCTTTCCCCTTTTGAGAATGGAAGGAAACGAATAGTTTGATCAGTGATGTCGAGGTCTTTCTTTAGTGTTCGTTGAAGCACATCCCAGAAAAAAAAGGCGTCATTGCAGTAAATGAAGCAGTGTTCTATGGTTTCTGGCTTATTGCATAGTCTACAGTTAACCGTCCACGGCACAAATATCCCTCTACTATGAAGCCAAGTTTTAACGGGCAAGGTCGAAGTGTGCAGTTTGAAAAAGAACGATTTGGTTGACGGTGGAACAGACATCTTCTTTACTCTGTAAAGGACATCATCTTGGGGATCGACAGGAAAGTGACTTCGGTAAAGCGGGATAGGAAAAATGCTTTCGATTATCGCCGCTGATAGTTTCTTGCGTGTTACACTAAATAAATATTCTAATGAGAAACGTGCCTTCAAGAATTCAATCGTGTCCACAACCTCTTTTAGGAAGCCCCAAGGTCTTCCCTGAAACGAATCATCACTGGACACAATTAAATAATTTAAACTTGTGGCCAGTCGTAACTGAAGAACGGTTTTGAGGAAGGGATGGTCGGCATTCTTAAAGAAAAAAAACCGGGATACTAATTGCCGAACAAATAGATGACACAGACTTAGTCCACCTGCTTCCAGGGGAAGGAAGAGGTTGTCCCTTTTGAGAGGCTCCCACGACGAACGCCAGATAAATGTCGCGAAAATTCGATGAAATTTTTGAATGTTTTTACGCGCACAATGCATTACCTGAAGTACATACATTAGCTTAGACACTAGGAACACGTTGCACACGTTTGCCCTGGTGAACATAGACATGTCACGTCCTTTCCATGCTTCGGCTTTCCTCCTCAACGAGGTTTCCATTGACGTCCAGTACGATGAGCTACTCCTGATGTGCGAGAGTGGAACTCCCAGGTATTTCAGCGGACCACGATTCCATGCAATACCGGCAAAAAAGCGGGGCGTGGTAGCCCATGAACCATACCAAAATCCATTACATTTTCCCGGGTTCATTGATGCTCCAGTAACACTACAGAAATGTTCCGTAACGTGTATGGCCTCTTCCACACTCTTTTTATCAGCACAGAAGACGGCAACGTCATCGGCATAAGCGAGTACCTTTACCTCAACATTATTAAGTGCAAATCCTTGAATACTCTGACTTGCAAATATGCTCCGGCACAAAGGCTCCAGATATATGGCGAAGAGAAGAGGTGATAATGGACAGCCTTGGCGAACGGAAGCTTTTATGTGTATTTTATCGGAAAGCATGTTGTTCACAATTAATCTTGTAGTGCTATTATGATAACATAAGTTGATGCCTTCGGACACTGTTTCGCCTACGTTGATGTGGCGTAGGAGTGCAAACAAAAATGCGTGGCTCACACGATCAAAGGCTTTTGACAAGTCAATTTGTGTCAAAGCAACTTGTGTGTTACTGTCAGAGGCACACTCGAGAACCGAGCGCGCAATGTGGATATTGGTTTGAATACTTCTTCCTTTTATGCCACATGTTTGGTGCTCACCAATAAGGTTTTCGATTACTAGCTGGAGTCTGTCATTCAATATTTCAGCAAAGATCTTGTAATCTACATTGCAAAGTGATATTGGTCTATAATTTTCAACTTTTTTTCTCAGTTCCACGTCTTCCGTCTTGGGTATTAGGACAGTATGGCAGTCGTAAAAAGATGGAGGAAGCGTCTTCCATTGATAGGAGTTATGAAAAACGTCAA